CATGTTGCTGGATACATGTGTCCCAATACAACAAAAACCTACTTTATGTAACTCAAAAACATTGAAAACATACTATTAACAGCCGTGATTTGCTAACATATTGTTTAAATATGCATCAGGAACTTTGTGGAGCATTGAGTGGTGGTTCTAATAAAATTAATAATTTAAACGATCAGACTCGCAGATTTCGAACTAATTTGATTCGCGAACGATTGTTTATTGATTTGGTGGAAAAGATTCGCACCTGTGTGTGCATCGCTTTGGCATGGAGTCGGGAAGGATTTTTATCTGACAAAAAAAAAAAAAGACTGGGCCAGAAAACACATACTAATCTGGGCCACACTTTAGCTGTTGAAATGGGCCAGATCAGACAGAACAACGGTCTCAGACTGCCAGCAGCAAACTTAAATACTTTTGTTTCCACTAAATCAACTGATTCAATGAAATATGCAGTATTTAAGAACCAAAAAAAAAGAAGACGTAAAATACCGCATGGACGCGCCTACATGTTGCGCTCAAACGAATCGGTTCTTTTGAACGAACTGTTCGAACAAACAGGTTTGTTGAAATTCCTAGACGAAGACAGTAACAAAACCGAAACACCCACAGAGCGACTTTATCTACTCAAACAAAGTGTGATCTAGCTCCGTCTCCATGCATTACATAGATTTGTGTAATATGCATTGCATTTAAATATGAAATAAGAACATATATGAAAGTGAAAGTGATGTGACATGTGGCCAAGTATGGTGACCCATACTCGGAATTAGTGCTCTGCATTTAACCCATCCAAAGTGCACACACACAGTAGTGAACACACACACACCGTGAACACACACCCGGAGCAGTGGGCAGCCATTTGTTTTTGCTGCGGCGCCCGGGGAGCAGTTGGGGGTTTGGTGCCTTGCTCAAGGGCACCTCAGTTGTGGTATTGAAGGTGGGAGAGAGCGCTGTACATTCACTCTCCCCACCTACAATCCCTGCCGGTACGAGACTCGAACCCGCAACCTTTGGGTTACGAGTCCGACTCTCTAACCATTAGGCCACGACTTCCCCATATATGTAATGCACTTTTATTTTTGAAGGATACGATGTTTATCTGTTATGAGATTCTTCCACTGCTAAAGGAACAGATCTCAGTTCTTTTCTCTAGTTGAGCACGAGAAAAGGTAAGTGTTTTTGATTTGATTTGAGTTTCTTAATGTTGGTTTCACTCTCATATGTTTCTTTGCAATGTTGATCTTGCGTGTGTGTTGGTTTGACTTCTCTTTTGAAATGTGTCTGTCACAATTAACAATGTCCATGTTTTAAATTTTTTCCATTGCAATAAAAAGTTCAGTAATTTATCTTCGTACTGGATGGGAATGCAAGATTTCGTGTATCTACACTAAAAAATGCTGGGTTGTTTCAACCCAACTTTGGGTCAAATATGGACCAACCCAACTTTTGAGTTAAAAATTGAATGTAAAAAATTAACCCAATGGTTGGGTTTGTCCATATTTGACCCAAAGTTGGGCTGAAACAACCCAGCATTTTTTAGAGTGTACTAATAGGCTACTGAATTTTAGCTCTGGCGCATTTTAACTACATCTGTCATTTTAATCATTTCAAGAAATATTTTTAAATAAGGCAGACTATAATGCGTTATAGAATACAGAATACAAAGAGATCTACTGTATGATAATAAAAAAAAAACTGGTTTTACAACTTGGCGGCATTGAGGAAATTTGAAACTGGAAAGAAAGTAGCCAATGAGCAGCAGTTTGCATCGCTATAGAAAAGAAATACAGGAACAAACATGAAATAATGTTTGCTTGATATGCACACTTACTGACATCAGTGTGTAATATCTATCTATCTTACAAATGTATGGCTAACACATTCATATCAAGAATACATTTCCCACAATGCTTTGCCAGAGAGACGGTGCTGTATAGAAATGAGTGAATTCATTAATTCAAGAGTTTGTTTTATTAACTCGTGAGTATATATTGCATGTTAGGAAGAGATACAACACCATATGATAGCACAGCTGTTTATTATACAACAAAAATGTCCTTTAAATCAAACGGTGAAGTTTATTACAAGAACTGCATTGTCAGCATAATGCAAATTTATTATTTATATTTTTTATTGTTAATATATATTTCTATCAAAGGTTTTTCAAAGTACTTTCATGATTAGTACTGCAGTATGTCTTGCCAGTGCCTGATTGTATTTTATATTTATTATTAATCAAACTGCCTGTATAATTTACATGAGATTCAATTAGACAAAATATGTTAAATGTTGAGAACTAGTTGAAATGACTTGTAAATTGACTTGTTCTATATACAATTTCTTGATTTTCCTATACACTTTGATTTTCAAACCCTTTCCTACACAAGTTGTAGCCTAAATAAAAGAAATGAAAAAATTATATATTTAGAATTTTTTAAATTGCCAAAATATGTTTCAAAACATATTTATGCAAATATATTTTCTACCAATATATTTTTGGCCTTTTTTTGTTTTTGTTATATATATATATATATATCAGTGGCGAGTGGTGACTTTTTTAACGGGTATGCCGAGATAAAAGATTAAGCCCCCCTCCCCCCTCCTCGGCTCTTTTTATGGTCACTCAAAGAGGAAAACACCGTGGCAGGTGTCGATTTAAAAGTATGCACATTCCTACTT